AACAGAGTTCAGACCCAAACCGTCCCCAGTCCACCCATTGTGCAGACCCAGTACGTAACATCTACCCGCGTTGTACCACAGGTCAGTTACGTCACCCAGACACAAACACGGACTCAGGTCGTGCCTGTGGAGGTAACCCGTACACAGGTTCAGACAGTCAACCAGCCTGTCACCAACTACCAGACTCAGGTACAGCAACAAACGCAGGTCGTTACGCTCCCTGGTCGCGATGTTGTACAGACACGTGTCCAGACCGCCGTCCAGACCTCTGTTGTCAGCCGCCAACAGCCAGCCAACACTCGCTACGTGACTTCGACACGTGTGCAACAGGTGGTACAGACATCAGTCGTCCGCGGACAGGACGTCGTAAGGACCAGCGTTGTCCAGAGACAACAGGTCATTCCTTTCACATCTGTCAACACGCGTTACGAGAATGCCGTCGCCACTCGCGAACAGGTGGTGACGAGGACCAACGTGGTTACCCAGACTCGCGTCCAAACCCAGGTGGTGCCCCAGGAGGTGGTCAGCACCCAGGTGGTTCCCACCACCATCTACACCACCCGCTACGAGACCCGGGTTCAGCCTTTCACACAGGTGCAGACCGTGGTCAGGACCCAATACGTCACACCTGCCCCCGTTGTACAAACCCGCCAGGAAGTGCGGACCTCTGTGGTCCAGGTGCCCGGTCAGGACCGCGTGGTCACCAGTCAGGTCGTGCAGACCCAGCAACAGCAGCAGGTCGTCTATCAGACAGTTAACCGCCCTCAGCAAGTTACCGTCACCCAGACTATCACAGCCACATGCGGGCAAACTGGCTATAATTACAATGCTCCCGCCACTCCTTTTAACTTCTAATCAGATACTGTCTTTAAAACTCGAGTAGAAAGTACAATATGTAACATCAGAAGTATTTTCATACGCTATGGTCTTATATTTTGTTCTCACCGCGCAGCTCCTTGAACATCAAAGGTCGATATCACGTTATATTTATGTAAAATAGAAAATACACTAACATTTGAAGCCTGTGTTTTCTTACAAGTGACATCCTTTATAGATTCAGGAAAGTTATGGTAAGTAAGATATTGATTTAAACGTTATTGCACATGAGTTTAACATTTTTTAAAAAGTCCCAGACATTTGATGAGCTTTCTCTTTCAGAATGAAGGCACTGCTGTTGTCCCTCTTGGTGGGGTGTGCGTTGGGAGCCTCAGTCGAGCGACCGAGACGTCAGGTCTTCGGTAATGCCATTGACCTGCAGTCTTCCCAGGGTTATCTGCCGCCACGACCTGGCCCCGACTGCCAGCCATCCACCGTCTATCGAACACAGACGCAGTACTCCACCCAAGTCGTCCCCTCCACCGTCTACAATAACGACGTGCAGTACCTCACCCAGACCTCCGTCCGCACTCAGCAGGTCTACACCACTATCTACTCCGAAGTCGTCCGCACGCAGCAAGTCCCGTCGGTGCAGTACCAGACAGTCACCGTCACTCGCACACAGGACAACGTGCGCACACAGGTCATCACTCTCCCACCTCAGGTCAGCTATGTGACCCGCACACAGCAGAGTGTCAGGACTGAAGTTCAGTACCAGACCAGATACGAGACCCGTACTCAGCAGGTCCCCACCACCATCACCAGAAACGTCGTGTCCACACAGGTGGTACCTCAGCAGGTGGTCAGCACTATCTACCAGACACAGACGGTTACCAGGACGCAGCAGGTACCAGGTCAGACGCGTACTGTCGTCAGCACTCAGTACAGCACCCAGCATTCCACTGTTGTCGTGCCCGCACAGGACGTCGTCAGGACGACGGAAGTGGTCAGGACCAACGTCGTCACGCAGACCATCACTCAGCCCGGCCAGACCAACGTCGTCACCTCCACGCAGGTGGTCCCCGTAACCACAACCATCTTCTCGCAGGTAGTTCTCACCAACACCCAGACTCAGTACGTGACACGCACACAGGTACAGCAGCAGGTGTCCACCGTCGTGCGCACGCAGCAGGTGCCGCAGTACAACACCAGGACTGTCACAGTGCCCCAGCAGGTGGTGAGGACCCAGGTGTCCACCCAGGTGGTTCCCACAACCATCTACACCCAGCAGACAGTTCCTTCCGTCGTTAACCTCCCAGCCGAGACGCAGTACGTCACCGTCACACAGACGTCCGTCATCACCCAGCAAGCTCCTGGTCAGACCCGCACCCAGTACGTGACCAGTACAGTGTACAACACCAACCAGGTGACGTCCACTGTGTTCAACCAGCAGTACAACACCGTGACAGCCACCAGCACCGTCCAGCCCAACTGCAACACCGGCTACAACTACCCTGAGCCATCCCAGGCCTTCAATGCATTTGGAAAATAGAAAGGAAACTCTTAAAACCTGACACTTTTTTGTTAGCACATTGTGATAGAGAAGACTATAGGAGAACGGCGAGAACAAGATATAAAAAACAATATGAAAATACTTCAAAATGGAGCTGAATATATTTAATAA